TTGAAACCTCCTGAGATCCCAATTATACACAGTTGGATCAATACCTGAAACAGTCTCTTGCACTGCTTCATAATGCCAGCTTGTGAACTCATTACTTTTTGCAATCGTCTCTGCAAGCTTTCAAACCCACATGGCCTCTCCAGAGGTCAAGACCTCCAAAGCCTGTGGTGCACACACACATAGCTTTACTTCTGTACAGGCTATACAGAAGACGCATTCTTTCCTGCTGGCAAGATGCTAATTAAGCTTATACTCTTTATCCTTGGGGAAAAAATACATACAAAAATTCATACCATTAAAAACTTAGGGGAAAAAAAAAGGAGGAATGGAAAATTTGTGATATATCACTTTTATTTGTCACAGAAATCTCAATCCACCAAAATATTCCTACCAAACCTATGCTTTTAAACAGTTAATCTTTTAAGCAAATATTAGGATATATGTAAGTTTTGTAGGGTAGCTTGGGCATTTAAATCTCAAACTGACAGGGCTCTGTTGGGAGGAAAGAGAAGCAAGTGTTTCTTCCCCTCACAGAAGCTGTGTTATTCAGTTAATACTTCAGACATGGGAGCGTTCTTTCCCCTCTCCTCCGTGTAGCACTAGAATTTTTTTCTCTTTTGAGTGATTTCTATTGTTTCCGCATGAGAAAAGAACTTAACCTTCGTGTACTTAATATCTGCTACTGCTGTGTGACAAATCAGCCTCCCCTTTGCTATTTCTATTCTTTGTTGTTATTCTACAAAAATACCTGCATTGCAGTGACAACTCTTGTGCACAGCTCTTGATTTTTAGTTGATAAGAGGTGCTATAACATTTTAAAATTACAAGGTAAAAAGTAGCAAATGAGGGCACTATTTCTACCCCTCTCAACAAACTTTGCTTCCTGTTTGCAAATACAGAGCAAGCACAAGAGCAGGGGGAAAGAAGGGAGCAGGCATTTCCATCTCTGCATATTTACATAGCAAAGGAGAAGGCGCAGCCTTAACCACTTCAGTTTTCTAGCAGAAGCCACCCAACACTGAGGCCATTCCATAATGACATTAGCAACAAGCGGAAGTGAAGAACTCTGACAGGGCTAAACTAGACTCCAGTCTACATTTTCTGCCGCTCCAGACCTACTATGTAACCCTGGAACCAGCCATGTCATTTTTCAGTCCATTGATTTCCTTATCTATAAAATAAAGACATCTATTTCCATCAGTCTCACATTTCCAGGCTCTAAGTTCTGCAGAGCAGCACCTACATCTTTCAAAATGTCCCTGTAGTGCTTAGAAAAGACAAAGGTACCATGACAAGAATAGGAGTCTGAGACCAGTATGAGAGCACAGGCACCAAACCAAATAATTCTGTGTTCCATAAAGTCCCAGACATCCATGCATGATTGTGAGACATTTCTGCTGAGGACAACCTTCAGCAAATAAGAGTCGAGATTCCTGGGTTCCAGACAGAGAGTCTACTGCAAGAGCCAGATCCTTTCCACATGATAGTGCAACTCTAGAAACAGATGCTTTTATGGTAACCTAAAGCTTCTAGTCATCATGTTTTACGATTTGCTATTCCCATACTTTTTTCTCCCTGCATGGTAAAGATCATGTAACTTTTCCCTGCCTAGAATCTTGGCAGCTAAAGTGTATAAAAAGAATTCACAGATTTATCATGTGAATTCCCAAGTATTGGCATCTCCTGATACTGAGGGAGGCTTCTCCTGCTGTGCCAAGGTCAAGCTGAGATATAAGAACAGATGTTATCGCAGTGAATCTCTGAGCACTGACATAACACAAAAGCAACATGCTTCATATGCCCATTAAAGTACCCTTAAGAAAGAGAGAAAGGCAGTGCAATGGTGAGCTACATTTTCCACTGTAGAATATTTATTTGTATTCCACAGAAAGCAAAACCATTTCTTTGAACTTGAGCATGCAATACATCAGGAAGAAAACTTCTGGATAACAATAATGGACGGGATAAATTATGATCAAGGGGGAATCATGATCAACCAGTCACAATAACACTATATAGGTTGGTAACAGATCCTCTTCTGTTTTGCAACTAACTGTAGGAAAAGACGTGCATATTTAACCCAAATATATGTGAAACTTCAGATGCTATCTAGGCAACAACTCTGATCTAATATTCCAGATCAGGTTGCTGCTTGAATTTGAATTACTGTACAAGTTCACCACAATACAGCGCACACACAGACATACACACACACGCACTAAAGGAAAACCCCATAATCTTATGGGAAGCATCATTCATGTTCAGTAGCAATACTCCTGATTGCTCCCGATTCCAAGTTTTTGTAAACCAGTTTAGTTAGTTTTCACCCACTTAAAAACCAAACACCTTACTATTTCTAAACAGATTTAAGCAGCACATTTTCCTAGACTCATCTGTGGTCTAGTCATCTACAGTCAAATTAAAGACAACTGATGCAAATCTTGACTCTCTCACACGTATTCAGACTATCAGAAGGCAATTATTTTCATACAAAATGGATTTTGTGGTATATTCTAATAAAATATCATTTGGTCAATTTATCCATCTAAAAATTGAGATAAGTGAATACTTTTATTCACCTAAAGTTAGTAAGACTTTTAAATAACTAATTATTTCACTGTAGCAACATTTAGAAGTCCGAGTTATTTACAAATTAAGATATATACTAAATTGATCTTTGTCCTTTCTTCTTTTATTATGAAAACACTTATACTAAGAGATATTTGAGCACTACTATTTTCTCATATATGTTTATGCACTTCCTAACTGAAGTATAATTGAGACAACATTCCATTCACTATTAGCTAAACCTCTCAAAGTTCTGAAGAACTGTCACACAGTGGAGGTAGATGCCTACAACTTGAAATGAGCAGCAGACATGAGGTACTCTGACAGTTGATCTTCATTTTTTGCTATTGTACACGCATTACACAAACATCACTCCCTCTGAAAAGTTACTAGAAAGCTCAATTAAGGAGAGAGGGAAAGGGACAAAAATAAACTCTCTCAAAGTTACAAAAATCTTTACCAAAAAAGTATCTGCATCTGCAAAAAACTGTAGAGAAATTACCACTGATATAATAAAACAAATCCTTCTAGAATTCAAAACTCTGCAGATCAGTAAACTAAGAGAAGCCAATGAGATCCCTGAGTAACATGTTTGTGATTGAGGCAGACAGCAGAAAATAAGTATTCATGAGTTTTATTTTAAACTAAAGCCATTAGCCTGTGAAAAATGAAGTCTGCAGTCTTACAAGAAATCCCATGCAACTGAAACTGGAACCGAGTTTCATGAGTATGTTACACATCACTAGCTGAAATCTAACTTTGGTTTGATGTAAATCAAATTAGCTACAGATAAAAGAGGAACCTTCCTTATTGCAAAGCAGCAGGTACATACTTAAATGGGAAGAATCGGATTTTTAAATGCAACGCTATATAACAACAGTAGCTAGACTTGAAAAGGTTTACTTGTAGGCCTTCCAAGTGTTTCAGAGATTATTCACTAATGCATTTCTCAGCATCCTCTGCCCTTTAGCACATGGCTCCTGTACAGCCATATAATTCATATTACGATATTATATTATGATATTATTATAAGATATTACCAGGAACACAGCTCAACAAAGGTGTGTAGTGGTTTGTGCAGTGTGGGACTGTAATGTACTCATACTTAGTAAGCCCAAATAACTGACACGAGGGTTCAACTGGTGCGTGACACCAAGACAACATACTATGCCTTACCAGCTGTCTTTACCAGCACAAGCTGTATGAATATAATTTCTTAATGATACTGCCCAGAAGTACACAGATTTATATGTTCTCAACTTTCTCCTCCTCCTATGTACTTCCTCCAGATCAAAGTAAACATCATCCGTTACTCCCAAGTGGTTTTACTGGTCAGGAAGCTGCAATGACCTATGAGTAAAATAATTCCTAAAGCCGTAAGAAACAGGCTAAGGTTAACGACTGAAAGAAAAAAAACAACACACAACTTAGTTTTAAATCTGGTACTTATAGAATAGGTCAGCCAAGCTACTGACTTTGGCTCCAACTCCTTCTTTACGTTATTAGATTCAGACTTACTTGATTCAAGTTCAATGTTACTCTTCATCACTTCACTAAAGACTACACAGATCATATTACAAGTCTGAAGCACACTAGAAGTACACTTTGCAAAGCAACTAGCAAAACAAGAATTTAGCTGAACCACCACGACACACATGATCACTTGAGAGGCTCACCTTCAAAACAGAAATTCAGAGGGAAAACAGGGGAAGTTCAGTATTAAAAAAAAAATTCAAAAGCATCAGCCAATACCTTAGAGGAAACTTCTCAGAAGAGTCGTGAAACAAAAACAGCTCTGGTCACTGACACATTGCATTTTTCTATTCAGCTATTTCAACTCAGTATTTCATAGCTTTGAATGCTACAGTTTATTACCAGTTAAGTACATACTGCTATAAAACACCCATGAAAACAACATTTAAAGATTGGCTAGTTTTAACACAGGTTGGTACTACTTCAGTAAAAATCAGGAGCATTTGCTCTGCTGATAACACTAAAATAAATACCAGGCAGCATCATACTTCACAGTTAAAGAGTACTGCAAATAGTTTTACCTAACAGAACTCATACCTGTTTATAAAACAACCTAAGAAAAATGTAACTTTATTTAGCTTTATTAATAAAACAGAGTTAAAAGGCTGCTATTACATTTAGAACATGATGCCAAAGATAATCAGAAAACAGCTATGAATCCAAATTAAAAAAAAAAAAAGTTAAAATCACATACTAAGAACAGTTCCTGTCCCTGGCAGCCAGCTGTGCTTAGTGTTCATCCTGCAAATAGTCCAACATCATTCCAGAAAAAAACAAAATTAAAGGCATCAGTAAATAAGACAGCCATTTTAAACACTTCCAACTTACTGGGAAGTAATTCACAGAACATAATTACAGAAGGAAAAAAACTCAGTGCTGATACTTTTTCTACAATCATGCAATCAGAGCACAAATGGGAAAAAAGCACTTACATTTACAATTACTCAGTCTTTAAAACCATGTGTACACTGCCATTATTTAAAGTGCAAGCTACATGTCTGCTGAATTAACTGAAGGCATAATAGGTGAGATGTGTAAGTTCAAATACTGCCACCAGTAGTTATACAACTAACCACGGATGCCAGAAGCATATTTCAAACCATGGCCAACTTAGTGCGTTACTTCTCGTATATTACCAGCCAAACACATATTCCATTGCTTTAGATACAATACTTTCATCTTTCCTAGGAGTTTGCTTGTCAGAAACCACCTAGAAGGTAGGAGGAAAGAGAGAGAAAGTAAGAGAGAGAAAGAGAGAATCAGCCAACATATAGTTAATTCTTTTTATACTTATTTTTTTTTCTTTTCCTAAGTGATACTATATTTTGATAGAACATTTGAAAGACTTTCAAAACAAGCCCTTAATCTCTGAAAAAGTGACAAATCATTAATTTATTATTTTTTATTATTGCTATTTTAAAGACTTAACAGACTGAGTTTATACTCAAACCACATCTTTAAAGAAATGACAGGAGAAGATAAAGGCTAAGGTCACGTTATAGTTAATGTGTGTACCTCATACAACTAAGGGAAGATACCACAAGGAAACACATGCTTCTGTTTCCCCTAAAATACCTGATAGTCACTAGTGGAAGCTTTATATGCTGTTGCAAGAGGTCTCATTGTAGAAATCCTTGTAGTATTATTTGCAGGTTGTACTGGTGTGCCAACAGATTTTGTAGGTGGAGTGAAAGATATTGAGAATGTAGAGCTTCTTTCAAAGTTTTCCATCACACTCTTAAAAAAAGGGTTAGTATAATGTAAACAAATAGTAAAAAGCAGTATTTCAACCTTTACTTTACAAAACTGTTATTGTTTGGTAAAATATGTTCACATCACAAAGTAAGCAAAGACCACAGATAAACTGCCTGTCAGTACAGAACACACAAGTACCCACCACCACTAAGCACTTTCTTCACTGCAATCACTTATACGGTACATTATACCATTGCAAAGTAGTAGAAGCTTGTAATCTGCTCACTGTATGTACTAAGTGTCAGCCAAGTGTGAAACAATATAGAGAACATAAATTGTAAGACTTGCACCAAGCTTCAAGGAGTAACATTTTTCAGACCCAGTTCAACTATGTAGCATAACATCCTCTCTTTCTAAATATTTCTGAAATATTTTACCTGATCCATACAGGACAGTCTCCAAGCCTGTACCAGCTTGCAGCCTTTTGCTCAGGTTCAGCTTGCCAATGAGTTTCACTCACTTCCCTTAGCAAATGCTAGAAAAGCAGTCAGAAGACTATTTTTCTAAGTCTATATTTAGACAGGAATGCAAGTAGAATGGAAGAGGCAGCAAGTGACTTGATGAGAACCACAAGTTCCACAAGAACCCAGAGAAAACAAGATGGGAAGTGACAACCAGCCTGGGAAGACCCGATCTGCTGCATTTAGATTCAGCAGAGCACAGCATTCAAGTAGCCTAAAGACAGCAGAAATTCAGAAGCACATGTGGCAGGAGACAGGAAAGGACTGGTGTCCATTGCGGGTGACAGCGAACTCTCAGCATACCAATGGAACCAACTGCTACTTTTAAATCAGAAGCCTAAGCACTGATGTCAAATCCATGATCTCTAGATTTCAGTTGCAAGGGAGAGTTTTAAAGGCTGATGCCAAACCCTCAACGGATTATTTCCCAGAAATTGCTCTTGCCTCTAGAAATACAGGTTAATGATTATGGCTTCATTTACTGATACTTGAAAGTGGACACTATCCACAAAAGACATAATGAGAATCCAAAAGCAACAAAGATCAGATCCCAGACCATTACTTGTAGAGTTTCAGCATACAGGCAATTTGGTCATTAATACAAACTGGACACAAAATAGTAAATAAAGTAGGAAGAGACTGGAAGTCCTATCAGCCCACGGAGGAAAGGAGCACTGAAGTACATTTGTTTCTGAATTTTAATCAGTATAAGAAATGTTTCAAACTGATAAAAACTGAAGTAATTTCAAGCTCAATTTCTAGGGCTGCCTTCTTAGAATGGTTTGCATTTGAAAGCTTATTACTCTTTGGCATCACTTATGCCTGGAGATCAAAAAAAAATCTGAACTATAAAAAAATTACTGTCCTTTGCTTAAGCTAATGTACAGTCTCCAATGCAAAGTGCTGCAAGAATTGATGGTCAGGGCATTGTCAATGCCTAGAAACTAAAAGCTCATGACAATCAGACTGAAATACAGCCATGTCTACCCCAACCACTATTTACAAGAAAGGGGTGCATTTTTGTGGGGGCATATGGTAGAGTAGGACAGGGACTGTCTTGCTAACAAATTTTCAGTCTCATGTAGTAAGATGAAGTGAAAAGTCAGGATCATAAATAGTCACCTAAAAAGAGACACACAATTGGGAGCAGTAACAGTCTTAATCTGCCATCGCATATCTATTGAGGCCCCTGAATGCCACAGATTCCAGACTGGGAAACTCTTACCTCAACTGCCTCTTATGTTATGGTTTCACTTCATATCTTGTACAGCAATATAATTCTGTGCACTGTAACTTGCAGGGATCACAGATATTTCCCATAATGATC